TTACTCTGCGCGCACTAATTTGAGTAGGTGTATGAGAAAGTAAAGGCCGCCTCCCCGTAGCTTTTGTCCTCTCCCCGACCAGCCTTTGCCGGAAGGACAAACGAGCACTGCCTGGGAATCGTCAGTCTCGGAAGAATTCCTTTGCCCTCCCTAACATGTCTCTCCCGCAGCCCCCCCCCCCAAGCTCCTCTCTTCATTCCTCGGCGGGTTAACGCAGTTCCGCAAGAAAGTTGATACTTTAAATGTCATTGCTGTAGAAAAGGGAAGTTGTCCCTGCGCTTCATTAGTTACGTACTGTTCCATGAAGACGTATGGGAAGTGGAGGTATAGCTCCACAATTCTTGACCTCGGCACTACATGGAGATGAGTGATCAGCTTCACGCCCAGGCCGCTTTACCTCCAGAGAAAGAGCCCCTTGCACCCGTTGGAGAGGAGGCTGGGTGGGCCCCAGACCCAGTCTGGACACTGTGGGGAAAGAAAAATCTATAGCAATGACGGAAATTGAACGCCGGCCGTCCAATCCGCAGCCCGTCGCTATACCGACTGGACTAGTCCGACTTTGTGTATTGTTAAAATAATTCTCGTTTTGGAGCTCCTTAAATTAGAAATGTCGTTTTCAAAGCGTGGTTTTACCTTAGAGGAAGAAGCCCTATCAAGATGTGCAGTTCGTCAGCTCATACCCCTCGCTAGCGCATGCGCAAAACGGAGTCCACGAATTATGGCGCAACAAAAAACAAAATAGAGAAAAAAAAGATAACCTACCCTTCGCAGTGAAAATTACAAACATGTGGCGTATTAGTTTTTAAGTTTCATTTTTCGTATCCATGAAATGAGATTTTTGTTTCTAAATAGGTCCAATTAATAGTATACTGTTCTAATTCATTTAGTATTACCTTTACTTATTTGCGGTCTAATTTCGCAGCTTCATTTATAAGAATTTTATTGGGTGTTTCGTAAACCCTTTTTGAGCGCGAAATGTTTCGGCTTTGCTCATTATGGCCACACTACCAGAGCCCAGGAGCGTGTAGTGTTCACACGCGGGTCACGTCAGGGTGACCGAATTCGGCCGCGGATCCTTCCGGAAACCAATGGACCTGCATATAGATCAGGTTACCCCAGTGTGGCACCATATAGGGGCGTAGCCCCGGGCGTCAGTGCAGTATTGTCGAGGATCATTCTTGTTGCTAAGTAATCTGCTGATGGGGGCACGCGGTAGCGTAGTTGGTTCAGGCACTATGCTCAAGCCGGAAGGTCTCGGGTTCGATTTCCGATGAGGACATTGGATTTTTCAGCTTTCCCAATCCTTCCAGCCACACTGTGGCCCTGGGGTCGAATTAGCCTCTAGCAGAAATGGCCGGCCGCTCGGTGTACGTACTCGACCTAATTATGTGCAGGTGGTCTGCGGTTCACAAGATTTCTGAATCCATCGAAATAAAATATTTTTTGTAGGGGGGCATAAGCCAT